GGTGTAGCTGGCTCCGCAACTGCGGCCAAATGCTTGGAGCTGCTCAGGCGGGATGTCAAACAGGCCGCACAAGAACCGCACATCATTTTTATGGATGGAAGCAACCGCGTCCTTGAAGAAACTTGGATGCCACGCTGTTTGTTCTGATTGCGTGATCTTCTGTTGGAGACGTTCGGTGACTGCGTGTCTGGACACGACGGCAAAACGGATCACCGCGGCAGGATTCATGTCGGAGCCCTTCAGGCGAAAGCGCAGGATCGTGACGGCGTGGGTGGCCCCAACAACATGACCCGCAACTGCGGTCTCTGCGATGATGTGCGGGCGCACGAGCACCACGCCCGTGTCTCTGAACAGGCCAACCGTCGTCCAGTAAGGCTCCGCGGTGTTGTTTTTCAAAGTGACAGCGTCTTCGACGGCAGTCCTGAGTCCAACGGGAACGTCGTAGCTGCAAGCGCCTTCGACGTTCCCCGTGCGGAACAGCTCGGGGTCCCATACGACGAAGACGACCGCCGCAGTTTGGTGCAAGATGCACCTGAAGACATCTTCCTTTGTTGCCACCTTCGTGATGACCACCACGTTGAACACCAAAGCGATGGTGGACGGAACCCGATTGCCGTCTGCTGTACGAAGGAATCCTTCGTTCCACTTGGGGCGTTCCCCAACGTAGTTTATCCCTGGAGGGGGCCTGGTCCGCTGCTTCTTCCGCGGTGCTCCCGCATCTTCCCGCAACTGCGGTTCCGACGGAGGCCCCGCGCGACCCCGCGACTGCGGTTCTGACAGCGGCGAGCCTTCCGTGGGAGGCGGCCTTTTCCTCGGCCGCGAATCGGCCGAGGCGATTGTCTCGGCGGCTTTCTCCTGGGAGGCGGCCTCGTCTTCGGGTTGGGCGCCTCGTTTGGACTCGGCTGCGAGCAGCACGGCCGAGGGCGCGCTGCTCCCAGATGAGCCGCGCGCGGCACCTGGCTCGCCGGCCACCCCCGCAACTGCGGTCTCGGTGGCGGCTCCCGTCACTGCTGGTTGGTCCTGCTGCTTCGTCGGCGTCTGCGCCCGAGGCCCCCATTTTGCCTTGGGGGTCAAGTGCGCCCTGCGCAACTGCGCCTCTTCGCGCCTCCCACCAGCAGAGCTCCCACTCGCAGCGCTTATCGGCGGCGGCGGCCGATATTCCCGCGAGGAGCTAGACGACTGCGGGGAGGCCTCGCGCGGCGGTCGCTCGGGGCTTCCGCAACTGCGGTCCTCCGTCGGCTCCGCGACTGCGGCATCCGCGGCAGCCCCTTGCAGGCCGAACCTTTCCCGCAGTTGCTGCTTCAGCTCGGCGAACCGCTTGTCGACCTCGGCTTTGCGACCTGGGTCCATGGCGTGGCCGCGCGCGGCCCCCGTCCGACGGGGGAACTGCGGCCGGCTTGGGAGAGGAAGGACAACGAGGGAGACGGCGGGGATGAGGACGAGGAAGGCGAAGAGGAGGATGGAGAGGACGCGACGGAAGAGGATGGCGCGAAGAGCTCAGACGAGGGTGAAAGGAGCAAGGGGACTGCGACGAGGATGACGGGGCAGAAACGGAGGAGGAGGAATCAACAAAGTCCGCAACTGCGGCCCTCGGGGGGGACTGCGACGAGGACGACGGGAAATGACTCGGCCAACGGAGGCGGGCTACGGCCAACGGAAGGAACTGCGACGAGGAGGAAAGGCGGAGGGAGGAGACTGCGACGAGGACGACGGGGAAGGGGCGACGAGGACGACGAACAACTGCGGATCCATCTGTTTAAGTACCTGTCTCCGCAACTGCGGCCGCGCTAATTAACGTCACGAGTGCTTCAACGGAGGTGATGCGCGCCCGAAGCACCTAATTACAGCGGTCAGTCGTGGGAGCGCCGCAACTGCGGCCAAGCTGTATGAAGTCGCTAGAAGGCAGCGCCGCAACTGCGGCCGAAAGCGCGCATAGTGAGTCAAACGAGCGCGGCGTCACGCGATCGGTCCCCGCAACTGCGGTTCCATGGCTGCGCAATCCCGCAACTGCGGTGTCAAGGCTGCGCGGACCACCGCGGTTGCAGCTGCGCCCCCTTGCTCGCGTCGAACCGCCCAGGATTCGGATGGGCGTGCAGCATCTTCCAGAACGTGAACGTTCCGTGGCCATCGCTCTTGCCGAGACCTGCCCTCGGGCCCCGCACGGGATGCGAGTGCGGCTCCACCTCATACGTGTTGAACTTCGGGCTAGACCAGGATGGGTGGACGCGAATGCCCGAGCCGTCGTCGCGGATGAGGACGAAATCCCACTGGGGCAGAGGGATTCTTTGCGCCTGTCCTCTGTCCACCCCTTTCGTGTGCCTCATGTTGTCGAGACTGCTAGGGCACGGGCGGCACTCGCAGCGGACCAACCCGCGACTGCGGTCATTGTCAGGGCCGCACACGACGCGCAGCATTGTAGGTCCATCCATCTGCGCGACCATCTCCAGCCAAGACCACGGCACTTTGACAGTGTGGTCCCAGTCCCAATCCCTGTTGTCCTGCGCCTTCCCCTTTGCGCGGTACTTAAGGATCTTCGAAATTTCCTCCGCAACTGCGGTACCTCCGAAGACGGGCGTGCGGCTGCCGAAAGGGTTTTCTCGGTCTTCGTACTCGTCTCGGAACCACTTCAAGGCCGCGTTGTGCTGCTTATAATTGCCGTTCCAGTTCGCCCTGAAGTTCTCGAAGAATTCCAACTTGAAAATTGGCAGCGGCTCATTGCGCACAATTTGAAACAGCGCAACTGCGCCTTGTTCTTCGCGCCCTGGGGGAAGCAGGGGACCGCCTCCTTTGCCCGCCGCTGTTGCGGCCGCGGGCTCCGCGGCAGGAGAACCTGCCGAGGCACTCGAGCGGCCACCTTCCCATGCATTCCACCAGCCACCCTCGTCGTCCCACCAGCGGGCGCCCTCCATTCCCCAACCCTCGCATCCGTTGCCGCCCCATCCGCCGCCCTCCCATCCGCGACTGCGGTCACTTCCGTCGCCGCCATCCTGCGCTTTTCCTCTCCATCCGCCAAGAGAATCTCCGCCGCCCCAGCCGCCACTGCGGTCACCTCCGCCGCCGTATCCGCCACTGCGGCCGCCCCAACCCCCACTTGTTCCCCAACCGCCGCCGCTGCTCTTTGAAGAATCCGCAACTGCGGCCCGTGTTTCCTCTTCCGCTTTGTCATCCCACCCTGCACGCATCTCTGCCCCGACTGCAGGCCGCGGAGGCGGGCGCGAGCCCGCCCAACCGCCGTGAAACCTACCGTCGGCGCGGGCTTGAGCCGAACGTGCATGGAGGAGGAGGATGAGGAGGAGGAGGGTGAATGTGAGGAGGATGATGCGTTCCTGGGAGGTGTGCCTTCGCGTGCAACACAAGAGCCCTGAGAATTCCTGAGGCCCCTCCAACAGCCAAGGACGCGGATGACAAGAAAGTCGAGAAGATTGGGAACCGATTGAGGATTAAGAGGCGTGCGACGAAAGGGATGATGATGACGAAGAGGAAGATCAGTGAAGGGGAGGAGCGGACAGGAATTATGGAGGAGTGATAGCAGAGGAGGAAGAGGGGGAAGGGGGAGGAGGAGGAGGAGGAGGAGGAGGGAGAGGAAAAGGGGGAGGAGGAGGAGGAGGAAGAAGGGAGGAGGAGGAGGAGGAGGAGGAGGAGGAGGAGGAGGAGGAGAGGAGGAGGAGGAGGAGGAGGAGGAGGAAGAGGAGGAGGACGACGACGACGAGGAGGAGGAGGAGGAGGAGAGGGAGAAGGAGAACGGGGACAGGAGGACAAGGACGGAGAAATATAACAAATGAGGGGGGGGAGGCGGAGGAGGAGGAGGACGAGGAGGAGAAGCAGGAAGAGGAGGAGGAGAGGGGGGAGGAAGAGTGCGCGTGAGACTGGGAGAACGAGGTAATTAATTAGAGAGGGAACGGGGGAGGAGGGAGGACAAGGAAGAGCATACAGCGACGTGAAGAGGAGAAGGAACAGACGAAGGCTCCTGCTGATCGCATTTCCGCATCGTTCAAAGCAGTGCCGGGGCACTGCTTTGAACGACTGGTGATGTTCAAAGCAGTTCCCCGGCACTGTGTTCCATCGTCGCCGTTATAAGGGCTATCGGATTAATGGTCCACACCATGCTTAAGGATGAGTGCGACTAAAAAATCCTGCGGGAGATGGGGCACAAGGGCCGCAGGAAGACTTGCCGTGACGCCCGCGAGCAGTTCGAGGAAACCATCGGCCCTCTCCCTGGGCCATCTGATCAAGCATGATCAGAGGATGGAAGGCTCCAATACCTGATTCTCGAGCCCACATGAGTCGTACTGTCGTGGATTGGACAGTGAAAGCATGAGAAGGAACCCGGACAGACCCTAACATATTAACCCACGATGTGGTCTGCTGGCACAACTTGTTGGCCTAGATCCCGTCAGTGGTCGATTGCCCTTTACGCTCTCACACCCAAGAAAGAACGAGCAACCACCCGCGCTTCGAAATCAATGTCTGAGCGGTCATGTTCTTCGTGGGTGCCCAAGAAAGAACAGGACGACGCGGGATAAACTATGAACTAGCTCTGGTGTCCACGTAGTACGGGCCCCAAATTCACAAATCAGCATTGAGATACAAGCGGCTGACCAAACAAATCAGACTGACGTTCGAGGGAAGCCCAAGATTCTCATACCCGAGCGGGGCCCGAAGAGGATCTCCAACGGTCCGAGCGAGCAAGCGGCCGCGCCCACAGGTGGGCCAGCAAGCCCCACCCGACGCGGGAGTCGACATGTTGGGGGCCGATGCCTGTCTGACTACCTACCAAACCACCCCAGCGTAACCCGAAGATCCGAATTTCGGGTGGGGGGGGGGACGTGTTCCATACGTGTTATGTTCCCCGATCCCCCCCATCACCACCGGACATGGAGGACACATTGAGGCCTTCGAGTTGGGTTGGGGTGGCTTGGTGGGTGGTGTCCGCCTGCATCCCCCGTAGAGAGCAAGCCGCCAGCCGATTGGGTCGGCGGTGGACGCTTCGCCCAGCAGGCCTCGGAGAGCTCCCGGCAGCCACGCGGCAAACGCCGAACTCCAGGGTCGTCCATGGCCCGAACTCCAGGGTCGTGTAGTTGCCCGCCGTGTAGTTCCCCGTCGCGTTCGCCGTCGCGTTCGAGGCGTTCGAGCTCGAGGCGTTCGCCAGCCCCTCTGGGCTGATCTCCTGAAGGTGGGAGCAATATGTTTACTGACTAGAGCATCCCCGCTTATGCTCGAGTAGAGGACTTGAGTGTACGTTCGAGGATCGGCGATCGTCGAACATCTGGAAAGTTTGACGCCGCCAGGTCACGCTTAATCGTCCTCCGCCGTTGCGCCTGCAGAGAGGTGGAGAGCGCAGGTCAGGTGAGATCACTGCATCTGTCCTCACGGCTCGATGCTCTCTGTCCCTGCACGCCGTGCCGGCGGCCGCGAGGCTGGGGCGCCAATGGCAAAGAGTGCAAAGGACCCTTGCCCATACACCAGAAGGTACTAATCCTCGAGTGCAGCAGGCGCGAGACCCGATTTGCTTAGGGTGCGCTGCCCTGTGCTTCTGATCGCGCAGGCAAGCGCTGACCTGGTGCTGACATTGGGTTTGGGCATGGGTGCACCTTCTCTGAACAGTCATGTGCGAGGCGCGCCTCCCTGGCGCCCCGCGAGCGACAACCATCGAAAGGTTAGGGCACCTGCTGGGGCCCTGGCTAAAGAGGGAACGCACCCGAATTGCGCTAGACTCGTAGATCCGTTCATCCACTCTTCTCCGTCCCGGGCGTCCCCCTGCATGCATCCTCCTCCAATCTCGCCCTCTCCCTTCACCTCCTCCGCCCCTGCCGTCCTTGCTCCTGCTCTTCCTCCGCCCTCTCTCCTCACTTCTCCACTCCTCCTCCTCCTCCTCCTTCCTCCTCCTCCTCCTCCTCCTCCTCCTCCCTCCTCCTCCTCCTCCTCCTCCTCCTCCTCCTCCTCCTCCTCGCACATCGCTCTCCCCTTCTCCCTCCCGGCCTCCTGCCACATGACTATTCCTGCCACCATCCCTGGTCTGTTCCTGGCCTTCGCTCTCCTCGCTCGTCCGCCCCCCCCCCCTCGAGTCTTGCAGAATGCCAGGGTCCCGTGCCTGCGCCAGGCGCCCCCCTCGGCTCCGACCCGACACCAGGACAAGGAGAAGCAAAACGGGGAGCGCAATGAGAAGCACGAGGAGCTGCGAGGCGCTGCGAAAAAGGGGAGATCAACGAGGAGACGCCCAGGGCAAGTGCCAGAGAACACGGGCACTTCCAGCCCATCATCGGCCATGGGGGGGGAGGCCCAGCGAACTCCTCTCCAACCAGGCCCCGGGAGAAGCAGGAGCAGGAGGCACATAGGGGGAGGAGGGTCTCGAGTATACGAGGACACGTCTTGGAGAGGACCGAAGAGGCGTCCTGGACTCTGCGGGGAGGTCGTCCACATGCCCTCACCTGCTTGCGCCTCCTCCACCCCCCCTCCCCCTCCTCCACCTCATCCCGCTCATCCTCCTCCTCCTCCTCCTCCTCCTTCTCCTCCTCCTCCTCCTCCTCTTCTCGTCCTTCTCCTGTTTCCTCCCCGTCGTCGTCCTCATTCTCGTCCTCGCTGTTTCTCCGCGTTCCTCCTTGTCCTTGTCCTCGTCCTCCTCGTCCTCCTCCTCCTTCTTCCCTCCTCCGTGTTCCTCCTCGCCATCGCCCTTCCTCCCGCAAGGTCATTCCCCTCTCCCCCTCCCCTGGCCTCCTGCGTTCCTGCGAGGGACATATGATGGGGGGGGGGGCATCTGAGGAGCGAAAAAGGAGGCAAGCTAGGTGCGCTCGCGCCATACCTGACATCGTACCCCATCCCCCCAACACCCTACCATGTACCCCATCCCCCCAACCCCCTACCATGGCGAAGATCTCCTCTGCAAGTTGGCCGAGAACGCGGGCATGGAGCCGACGATGAGACGGCAGCGCCAGAGTGGAATAGCCAGAGGTGAAGAAACGAAACTAAACATGAAGCGAGATCGCTTTCTGGATGGACCGACAACATCCGGATTGAAATACTCACAAGCGGACACAAGCGTCAAATGAGAGCCGACGGAGGAAGGGACGCGACGTTTGACACTCCAAAGCGTGACCAATACCAATTCGCCGATGTTCAGCAATAAACTTGGCCCGAAACCGACAAATGCCGCTGTTGGGCAAGCGACGTCTTGCATCAAACACGGATACCGTCCGCGCAAAATCTTTCGTTTAGGGAAACGAAGCATGGTATAAACATAAAAACTCGGAGGTCCGCGCGGATTTCGTTGATCCGAGCTGTACCCCCATCCCTGGCGCGCGGAGCGCGCCAGGGGCGGCGCCAGAGACGCCGCCGGGGGGCCCCAGCGCGGATCTGCACGAGGTGGGCGTGCTAGAACGCCACGTGATGCCTGGCAGGGTTTCTGTACGCCTTCTGAGGCTCCCTCCCGCTCCCTGGCGCACTTTCTCGCATCGCTGCCCTCCAGGGCCTCGTGGCTCGTGGAACGGTGGCGGAAGAATACGTTCGAAACCGCGGAAATGAGAAGGCCCCCCTCTCTTTATTCCCACACTCCCCGTGCCGACCAGGTGGCCCCGCCCCTCCTGGCCGCCGCCGTAGCCGAGCAGCCAGCCGCTCTGCAGGCGCAGCTGGTACGCGTTGCCAGGGGTCAGCGGGTGGGCCTCTGCACGGATGCCGCGTCCCCCCCCCCCATCCCTCCTCGTGCTCTCCTCCTCCTCCTCCTCCTCCTCCTCCTCCTTCCTCCTCCTCCTCCTCCGCCTCCTCCTCCTCCTCTGGCCTCCTCCCCTCCTCCTCCTCCTCCTCCTCCTCCTCCTCTCCTCCTCCTCCTCCTCCTCCTCCTGCCTCCCTCTCCTCCTCCTCGTCGCCTCCTCCTCTTCCTCCTCCTCCTCCTCCCCTCCTCCTATCCTCCTCCTCTTTCTCTTCCTCCTCCTCCTCCTCCCCCTTATTTCTCTTCCTCCTCCTCCTCCTCTTCCTCTTCCTCCTCCTGCCGCCGCTTGTGCTCGGGGCGCTCCGGAGGGCGTCGACGACGGGGATGTCCGCGAGGGGGGGCGCAAGCCATGGCCTGAGGCATGTGAGCGGCCCAAGGGGGGCCAGGGGGATTCATGAAAATAAACAGAAGGGTTAGGGAGGGCATGTCCTCCGACTGGCGGGTTTTGGAAGAAACCTTAAACATAGCCTAAAACAGATTCAAGTATTGCCCTATATGTAAAAAAACGGCACCCCATCATATATTTGACTATGTTTGAATATTCCGCCTGTAGAGGGCATGCCCGAATTAGCAGAGGGACCATGCAACCCTCGGAGAGATCACGGTCCCAGCCATGATGTCCACCCGCCCTGGCTTGCCATCGCTTGGACGTCCATCCCCCGTGCATTGTCCGATGCGTCGTGCGTTCCTCTTTTGGAACATGAGCCCAGATGCTACTCGATACTCGACGGTCCTCGCCGAGAAAACATGCGCACGTCGGAGCGATGCCAAGATCATGGCCCCGGCCATGGAGCACATTCTTTTGGTCGCGGCCATAGCGGGCGTTATGGGGGGGACGGCAGGGGACATTACGTAGCGCCCGCAACCACAGACTGTGGTGCCAGGCGCACTGCGGCACTGCAAGGGACGCACTGATGGAGGGAGCGTTACGTGATGGTGGGGGGGGAGAGAAGGGGGGGGCATGGGGCAGCCCAAAGGTACCCATACCGCTACTCCCCGCACCTCTCCCCGGGGTGCGTTCTGGCCAGGACTTCGAGGCGTTGCAGCGGATAAACCAGAGGTTGCAAACGAGGGCCTCCCAGAAGTGGAGAAATCCGGCGAAGGGCAGCGGTATGGATACCTTGTCCTCCTCTGAGGGGACGGGTGGGGGGCATAACGAGAGGTATGGTCCCGCTGGGTGAACCGAGAGATCTCTGGGAGCACGGGGGTGGCCCTGGAGCCTCTTCGGGCCATCCCTGAGGCCCGCGTGGGGGCGAGGGATGGAGGAGGAGGAGGAGGAGGAGAAGGAGGAGAAGGAGGAGGGGGAGGAGGAGAGGGAGTAGGAGGAGGAGGAGGAGGAGGAGGAGGGGGAGGAGGAGGAGAAGGAAAGGGAGGAGGAGGAGGAGGAGGGGGAGGAGGAGGAGGAGGAGGAGGAGGAGGAGGAGGAGGAGGAGGAGGAGGAGGAGGAGGAGGAGGAGGAGGAGGAGGAGGAGGAGGAGGAGTACCCCCCCCTCCCTGGTCGTCACCCCCCTCGTGGGCCGCCCCCTGGAGGAGCGGGGCCTCCAAACCCGCCTGCGCGGGGTCCCCCCCAGGCCCGCCGACATGCATCTCTTCAGGTCGGGCGTGTCCCCCTACAGGCGAATCGTGGACGAAATCAAAGAAAAGGAAAAGTCAAACCATGCTTCGGCATGAACACCCTTCTATCGAAAAACGTCCCCTGACTATGCTTGGACTACTTCTGATGTGTTCCTCCCGTAGAGGGACGCGCCCCACTGATCCCAAGGGGGGGAGGGGAGAACAGGGCGGGCGGCAAGGGGGGGGGGGAAGGCTTCCTGGCAGCAGGCCGCCTCTCCGAGCCGGCGCGGGCCCGGCGTCGAGAGGCGCGGCCCGCGCCCTCTTCCGAGGAGGCGGCCGGGCGCCTCCAGAGGAGCCCCCGCACCTCCCCCGTTGCCCCCTCTGCGCGTGGCTGCCTTGCTTTTTCTGGGGGAACAAAAAGTGGCATAAACATTAAAACGCGGAGTTCCGAGCGGATTTCTCGAATCGGCGCTGGGGTTCCCCCGGCGGCGCCTCTGGCGCCGCCCCTGGCGCGCGGAGCGCGCCAGGGAGGGGGGTCCAGCGCCGATCCGAGAAATCCGCGCGGACCTCCGAGTTTTTATGTTTATGCCATTTTTCGTTCCCCTATCTTCACCTCTCGGTCTCGGGCGCGTGGCACTAGGGGGTGGCCTCAGCGGGTGGGAGACAGCCTCACGCGGGGGCCCTGTGAGGCCCCCTTCTGGTGCCAGCGGGCCCTCCTCCTCGTCGTCATCGGCCCAGACCGATCGCTCCCCCTCAGCCTCGCAGCGACGACGCGCGGGCTCGGAGTGTGCAGCCATGCGAGATGTGAGGCCGTCTGGGGCGAGCCGGCCACGATCACGTGCTCGGGTCTGACATGTTGCAGGGGGCCCCCTTTCACCCCCCGAGCCGGGGCCCCCTCTGGAGCCAGCAAGGCCCCCTCTGCGCGTGGCTGCTTGCTCCTCGCTGCAACAGCCCAGGCCCGCCCGTCCTTCGCCGAAGTCCCAAGGGCGGGTGGTAATGGTGGGCGTCGTCGTCGTCGTCGTCGTTGTCGTCGTAGCCGACGGGGTTACGATCGTCGTCGTCGTCGTCGACGGGGTCATGTTCGCCGTCGTCATCCTCCTCGTCGTCGTTGTCGACAGTCGTCGTCCTCCTGCTTTCTGGGAGGTCTTTGTAAGAATTGTGTGGCAACTCATAGGAGCCTCTCATGCCATCTTGCTGGCTCTTGCGAGTCGACGCTGGCCGACGCTAATCGACGCCTAAACCCATACTAAATCAACGCGAATCGACGCTAGGTAGGCGCTTGCTCCTCGTTTACCAGACGTCAGCCTACATGAATGCACTCGGGAAACGGGATTGCAAGGACATGCAAGGCTCCCCCCTGCCCGAGGTCTTCATAAAAAAACGATCATCGGCTGCTTGGCCAGCTTATGGGTCCGCCGCGGTCTAAAAACTTTGAATAGCGTGTCGCGGCGGCGGCCCGAGCAACACGCTATGCCTTGCGAGTGGATAGCGTGTCGCTCCGCTCCGCGGGGCGGGAATCTCGGAAAGGCTCGGAACATTAACGCTCAGGGACTGGTATGTGGATAGCGTGTCGTTCCAAAGCGTGGTGTGCCAGAGCTGGCGGAGCGATACGCTAAGCCAAAATTCTTGACCGACGGCGGGACTGGCTCAGACGAAGCCCCGAAGAGCGGAGTTAGACGGGACGGCGTTGCAATAGGCTGGCATTCGACCACGGATACATGAGCACCGATGCCAATGTTCAACCTCCCAGCACTTGCGCCCTAACCTCCCGGCCCGTTGAGCAGGGGCCGACCGTCCTGGCATTCCTATAGGACGATCACGGGATTCCATTATAATAAAGAATGTTTCATGACACAAGCAATGTTCTTGGAACGCAAGCCCGATGTGCTAAAACAAAACACCTTCCGCTGGAAATGATCTAAGAGCATCCCGTGCAAACCTCAACATGTTATGATAACACCATTTGGCACGCCCGGAGGCGAGCCGGGACGCTTCGCCAGTGCTTGAGGCCGATCTCTCCCCACCTTTGCATGCCGAGTGCGACCAGTCCCCTCGCGGTGGGGCGCGCTCTCACCGAAGACCCTCCCCGACGGTGGGCCCCACCCCGGAGCGATCCCGCACGACGCCCGAGCGCAGAGTCCTCCGTGCTCTGGCCTCCGGGCGCCTCGAGGCGAGGCGAGCCTTGCCCGGGGCCATGGGCCGACCGTTCAACAACAGCGAGAGTCCGGCCCGCTTGTCCTCCTCCTCCTCCTCCTCCTGCTCGGGCATCCTCCCTCCCTCCCTTCTCCCTGCCCGGCCCCCCCCTCCCATCCTCCATCCGTCCGTCCGCCGTCGGCCCTCGCCCCCCTCCCGCCCTCCTCCCGATCCTGCACCTGTTCCTCATTCTGCTCCTCTCCCTGCTCGTACACGACCTGCCGGCACTCTCCTCCCCGTCCCTATCCCCCTCCTTCACGCCTCCCCCTCTTCTCCTCGTGCTACTCCGCGTGCCTCTCCCCTCACCCGCCCCACTCTTCCAACTCACCCCTTCCAGTTCAGGCACCATTCGTGAAAGTATGTCTCTTCAAATCCTCGGCAACAACACATAACCTCCAGCAGTACATATCATAACTCCAGCCGCAACTACCAGAACGAGGGGGCCCTTGGCCGGGAGCCCTGGGGCACCCCGAGCGGCCGCCGAGGCTGCCGCGCCCTCCACAGCTTGACAGGCAGCCGGCGGCGGGCGAGAACGGGAAGGGAGAAGGAGGAGGCCTTCTCAAAGGCGGCGGGGCTTCTCAGAGGCCCTCTTGCCTTCTGACAGGGTCCCGGTGCCTTCGGGGACGGCTCGGCAAGCTCAGCTCCTCGCCGTCGGCCAAAGACTGGGCACTCCTCCGGCTCGCCGTCGACCGAAGACTGGGCCACCCCCTGTCGCGCATCGCACCCCACGGAGCGAGGCTGCCTCCGCGCCCTTCGCGGCGCCGCCTCCGCGCCTCTGGAGGTGACCTCCCCATCCGACCTTCTCACGGGGGGAGGGGAGCGGCTGCCGTCGGGGATCTGCTGGCCCGGGTCAGTCCGAGCCTAGGTCCGTCAGGCCTGGCAAGCCCCTGCAAGATGCTGCAGGGCCCAGCAGGATCCGGCACCGCAGACCCGGGTCGGTGCGACCCCGGCCCTGCAGCATCCTGCAGGATCCTGCGCTCTGACCAGCCCCCACTTGTTGAGCAGGGACCGACCGTCCAGGCATTCCCATAGGCCTACCACGACATTTCTTAGAACCCCCAAAACGTTCTCATAACAAAAACACTGTGCTTGGAACATGCACCCGATGCGTTAAAACAGTACAGCCTCAGCCAGACATGTTCTAAGAACATGTCGTGCAGACCCCCAAGGCTTCTTCGAACCAGACGCTTCGCCACTACCTCGAGCTTGCATTGAACCCGTCTCTTGAGCCCCTCCTCCTCCTCCTCCTCCTCCTCCTCCTCCTCTTTCTCCTCCTCCCATTCCTCCTCCTCCTCCTCCTTCTCCTCTTCCTCGCCAGCCCGCCAGAAGATCTAGCCTTCTGGACGCGCCTGGTGATGGTACAGCCATCGCCTGATACCTTCCCTCCTCCCTCGACGGCGACGGACCCTCTCCTCCAGGACGGCGACGGTAATCCACTGTCCTTGCAGGAATTTGTCGAGCGCAGCGCTAAGTGTGACATCGTGGTCGATGGATCGGCCTCGCAATGTATCATGGCTGATCTGAGGAGAGCCAGTTTTGCTGCCGTGTTTTTGGAGCCAGGGCCCGAGTACAAAGTTCGGATCAGGATGATGGCCCCGATTTGGCCGTATCGTCATCAGACGCCGCAGGCGGCGGAGAACGATGGGCTTGCCACTATTTGTCTGTTCACGTCTGGCCACAACACCCATTACAGTGATTGCAAAGGGGCTGTGCGAGTGCACAATGCGTCGGATCAGGCCCAACTAGGACCAAAGCAGATGTTTGCGGGAGTGCGTCGCGCAGCCCAGCAGGCTGCGGGATATAGTGCTGCGGGGAAGGCCTGGCACACGCCAGCACACCGCTCGGAAGATGTCATCCTCGCGCTCCCTCCCGACGAGAGGCGCATTGCTTTAGGCAATGAGGACGCCGACCGTCGTCTCGCCTGTACGCTCTCTCCCTCCACCTTCAGGCTGCACCTGCCGATCTTGAGAGGCTGGATAGTCAGGTGCAGCTCCTCGGTTCTTGTGCCCGCATGTTTGGGGTTGTTTTGCCCCTCTTTCCGAAGCGTGAGTTTCAGCGGCCTCCCAAGGCTGCGCGTGTCCCGCGGGTGAAGCCACCGCCTGGCTGGCATGTTTGGGAGAGTCTGGAGTCGGGCACCCGTTTTCGGTGCCGCTCCGGTTTCCAGGTCGTGTTCGAGAACGGCGAACGACCCATGAACGGCTGTCGTGGGCCCCCGACGGCCCTGAGGCGCCTCGAGGGTGCTGAGTCGATCCGTGGTCACCAACTGGGCTTCGCCGAGCTGGAACGATCGGGTCAGATGTTGTTTTTCTGTATACGCTGTGCATGGTGCGTGTACCAGCCACCGCTGCCACCTCTTGGGCCAACAGTGTTCCAAGGTCCTGAGGCCCTCTAGTGAGTGCCCTCGATCGTATAGGCCGCGGTCTTCACCCTCACTACAGGTTGAATTCAGAGGGTGACAATCGGTGTCGCGAGCACTGCCCAAGGCAATGCTCCTTGCTGCCCCTCCGCCGTCCTCGGCTGTCAGTGCACGGCTGATCGACAACGACCGCCTCCGTGCGCTGGCTGAGAGGATTCGGGCGAAGGAGGCAGCTCACGACCCAGCATAGTCGTGGATGAAGCTGACGTTCTGCCCCAAGGTCGTTGCGTCCTCCTCTTCCTCTTCCTCCTCCTCCTCCTCCTCCTCGCCGTCGTCCTCCTCCTCCACTTCCTCTGCCGTCAGGCCGAGGCAATTTTCAAATGCCTCGCCACCGCGGATAAGCGGTGCAGCCTGGGCTCCGTGTGGCACCGCCTGAATGCGGTGTGGGTCCGATGATGTCACGCTCCTTATCCCGCCCGCTCGCGGGTGCGATAAGGAACGGGCGGAGGGCGGCACTTCCCTCTGGGAGGTTCGTGGTCGTTCGTTGTCGTCCTTCGTGTCTCGTTTCGTCGTCGTGTCCGTCGCCCCTTTCCTCTTTGGGAGTTGCGGCACGGCCCTGGATTAAGTTCCGGGGTGGACGTTGTTTGCGCTCCTGGGCCGGAGAGTGGCCCCTCCCCCCTCCACGCCCTGCTGCCGCCGCTGTCGCCGTTGCAGCTGTCAGGCCAGGGCTTTTAGTGCCCTGCCACCTCGGCCAAGAGGTGCGGCCTGGGCGCGGGGAGACCCCAATGGCACCTCCTGGTCTGAGGTGAACCGCCGTTGACGATCACGGAGGCGGGGCCCGCGGCTTCCCGCCTGTAACCTCTTGGTTGCAGTGCTCTTTGCCGCGGGCACACTGTTGCCGTGCTTGTGAGGGTTCGGGCGCTGGGCAACGCTCCGTGTATTGTCCATTGGGCGCCGATCCCGAACCCCCACGCGCCATTTTGGCGCGGGGTGTAGGGCGGTCCTTGGTTTGCTTTCTTTTTCTTGATTTCTTCCCTACGGCACAGCGTTTCTGGCGCTATTGGGAGTTAGTCGAGGAAAGAAGGCCGGAGGTCAGGTCCCAGCTTGTGTCCGTGATTCCCTCTTTTTGCGCGTGTGCCCTTGGTTTTGGCCGTTGGCCACTTTGGCCGTTGGCCAGGGCACGTTGGCCCGCGCTTTGCTGAGCGCCACGGTTTGTTCCTCCTCCACTCCTCCACTTCCTCTTCCTCCTCCCCCTCCTCATCCTCCTACTTCTCCTCCTCCTCCTCCTCCTCCTCCTCCTCTCCTCCTCCTCCTCCTCCTCCTCCTCTCCTCTCTTCCTCTGCGAGGCCCCCCCGTCTCTCGAGCCCCCAACACCGGGGTCGCAACGCCCCCCGGCCAGCCCCTCTTTAAGGCCTCTTCGGCGCGCAGCCTCCGGCGAGGAGGGGCCCCGCGCCCAGCGGCGCGGGGGCCCTTCGAAGGCTCGGAGGCCCCCAAACGGGGCGGTGACCACACCTCCCCCTCCTCCTCCTCCTCCTCCTCCTCCTCCTCCTCCTCCTCCTCCTCCTCCTCCTCCTCCTCCTCCTCCTCCCTCCTCCCTCCTCCTCACTCCTCCCTTCTCCTCTTTTTCCTACTTCTTCTCTTCCTTCTCCTCGGGTCACCGCACGGTTCTGGGACTCGAGTCCCTCTCCGAGGACGTCTCGGGCGACGGGGGCATCCGAGGTCCCAAATCGCGTGCGTGGACGGACCGTGCGGTGAGGTCTTGGGGGATTCCGAGGTCACCGCACGGTCTGTCACCGCACCGCTTCGGGACTCCAAAGCGGCCCGCCACGGGCCCCCGGCCCAGAGCGGGCCCCCCAGGACTACCTACCAGAACCACCCCACCCCTACCAGAACCACCCCTACCCACCCCGTCGGGCTGGGGGTATGCTGCTCCTATCGTGCTCAAGGACCGCATCCCAGAAATAATTCCGAGCGCCCAGAAGAGTGTCGAAACAGTGTCGAACGAGTATCGCCTCTCAGGGCCCGACACGTGAAAACACTCCAATTTCGGTACTTCCCTGGTGTTCGAAATTCTTGATGGCGATCAAAGCTAAAGTAGGTTGGAACATCATAAGGCTCGGGGTCGATCCGGTTCCACATTAATGTTTCTTTCCATGTTCCCCGACGCCCCCCCGCCCCCCACTGGGAATGGCGGGCGACCTGGGGCCTTCGGGTTGGGTGGGGGTGGTGTGGTGGGTGGCGATCCCGGAGGGCTCACGTCGGGGATCTTCTGACCTGGGTCAATCCAGATCCGGGTCAGTCAGGCCTCGCAGAATCTTGCAAGATCCTGCAAGATCCTGCGCCCAAGCCCGGGTCAACGTGAAAGATCCTGCAGGATCCTGCCCCCAAGCCCAGGTCGGTGCAACCCTGGCCCTGCAGGACCCTGCAAGATCGGGCGCTCTGGCCGACCCCCGCTTGCACGGAGTCCCGCCGCTGGAGCCCCGATCGCGACTCGGCCTGGGCTTCCGGGGGCCCCGGCCCAGGACACCGCCGGAGGATCTGCGCCTGCTCGTCCGCGGCGGCGCATGATGGGCCCATTCTCCACCATCACTGCCATATGTGGAAAAGGAAAAGAAAGAGGAGGAGGAGGAGGAGGAGGAGGAGGAGGAGGAGGAGGAGGAGAAAACGAGGAGGAGGAGGAGGAGGAGGAGGATGAGGAGAACCTTCTCATCCTCCCTTCTCCCCCGTCTTGCATATGGTAGTGGTGGTTGAAAAGTTGCCTATCAGGCGCAGGGCCTCCCGCCCCGGCGGCGGCGGCGGCGGCGGCGGCGGCCCCGCGCGCGGCGCGGGCCAGCGAAGACCCCGCAAGCGGCTCCGGCAGCTGGCCGGCGGCGAGACGGACCTGAGCCGCCCAGCGCGCGGGGCGCCGAAGGGGTCGTCGGGGGGAACGAGAGGGGGGGATGGCAAAGGGAAGGGTAGAGAATCAGCTCACGTAGCTGATTTTCCCCGCGCCTCCAGGCGCCGGGAGGCGCCCATGTAGCAAGGAATGGGCCCGGCGGCGGGGCCGAAACCAGCTGCATGCAGCAGATTTCGTAACCCCCCCTTCACCTATCCCCCCTTTTCGTTCGGCCCGAGATGGGCGGGGAGGGTGGTCGCTACAGAATGGAGAACGCCAAGATGGGAAGTCTCGCCGAGCCGACGAGAAAAGTATGCAGAAGGTTCGTAGACCTGTACGCAGTCGAAGTGCTTCTCGCGTGGATGCGACGAGGGGATCCATGTCGGAGCAAATCGAGTATGTAGTCGATCTCCTACTGCCCTGGATGGAAAATGGCCCTGGGGAAAAGACTAAACGCTCCTGGGACCCCGTACTGGCAAACAAGTAGAGTTCCAAACGATCCCCACCCAAGATGTTCAACATATCAACATTAAGGTCCTTAACGTGTGTCAGTCGTGTACACTGCTGATGTAGGTGATTGGTCTGTAATATTGATGCACGTCCTTGCAGTATGTGATTGGCGTCTGATCAGAAAAACCTGTCCCTGGTGACTACGCTACACAATTGCGTGCATTCGGCGTGTATTGTTGATGTCTGTTCTCGGCGACAGCCTTTGAAGTACGCAAGTGCCTGGCACATGGAATTGGTACCTGCGTTTGATGCGTAGTAGTCGCACATGCTGACACTATGTTCTTGTGGTGTATCAATGATGGGCGTTCCTGGCGTGTGTTATTCATGCCGCTGGTGCAATTTGCGGTGCTTGCTATGTACAAATGATCAACATAAACATGCTAAAGTGTGTCTGCCCTTGACGTCAGCTATTAAGGTATGACATTGGCCAGTCCATGGTGTATGTTAGTGATGCATGTTGCTGGTATGGTATGCTCGTAGGTTAGTGGTGCATGGTGTTGGCATGCTCTTGACGTATGTTATTGGCATGCGTCCCTGATGCATGTTTTATTGGTGAATGCTACCTGATGTGTGGTGTTGGTGTATGCTGGTGCTGCATGTTGCTGATCTGTCCCTAACGGTCGTTTGCGGTGTATGTGTTTGGCGTGTGTCCCCAAAGTGGGCGGTTGATGCACATTCTTAGTGTGTGTGCCCTTCAGGTGTGTCCAAGACGTCTGTGGATGCCTTGACGCCGTGACGCCTAAGACGGCGCGACGTTCCTCTGCGAGGGCGGCAATGCCATGGCGCCTGTTGTACGGGTGCTTCCTCCTCCTCCTCCTCCTCCTCCTCCTCCTCCTCGTCCTACTCCTCCTCCTCCTCCTCCTCCACCTCCTCCTCCTCCTCCTCCTCCTCCTCCTCCTCCTCCTCCTCCTCCTCCTCCTCCTCCCCCTCCTCCTTCTCCTCCTCCTCCTCCTCCTCCTCCTCCTCACTTGTGCGAATTTGAACATATCTGCTCGGTGCGCTGTCATGGGGCTCTCGGGGATCTCCGGGGCCCGACGACCGCGCGGGGCGGGCGGGGCGGGGCGGGGCGCCCCCGGGATGACACCCCGACGGTGGGGCCCGGCGGCCGCAACATGTGCGGGGCGGGCAGCGCGGGACGCCCCGGGCTCGCACGGATCCCACTGGGGCCGGGCGGTTGCCGCATGGCAGCGCGAGGCGCCCGAGGACCCACCCCGGGACTGTTCCTGGCCATCGCTCGGACGTCCATTCCCTGTGTTTTTGTGTTCGGTTTCGTGCGTGGTTTTGTCGCCACATGATCAAGGATGCTCCTCGATGGTCCTCGCCGAAGGAACAAAGCACACGTCCGAGCGGTGCCAAGGTTCTGGCATGGCGGTGGCGGCGTGCAGGACGGGCGCTGCGGGTCGGGGGCGGGGAGCCTTGACGCTGTGACGCCTAAGACGGCGCGACGTTCCTCTGCGAGGGCTGCCATGCCATGGCGCCTGTTGTACGGGTGCCTCCTCCTCCTCCTTCTCATCCTCCTCCTCCTCCTCCTCCTCCCCCTCCTCCCCTTCCTCCTCCTCCTCCTCATCCTCCTCCTCCTCCTCCTCCTCCTCCTCCTCCTCCTCCTCCTCCTCCTCCTCCTCCTCCTCCTCCCCCTCCTCCTCCTCCTCCTCCTCCTCCTCCTCCTCCTCCTCCTCCTCCTCCTCCTGACATGTGCGAATTTGGATATACCTGCTCGGTGCGCTGTCATAGGGGCTCTCGGGGATCTCTGGGGCCCGGCGGCCGCGCGGGGCGGGCGGAGCGGGGCGGGACGCCCCGGGGGTCCACCCCGACGGTGGGGCCCGGCGGCCGCAGCATGTGCGGGGCGGGCAGCGCGGGACGCCCGGGGCTCGCACGGAGCCCACTGGGGCCGGGCGGTTGCCGCAGGGCAGCGCGAGGCGCCCGAGGACCCACCCCGGGACTGCTCCTGGCCATCGCTCGGACGTCCATTCCCTGTGTTTTTGTGTTCGGTTTCGTGCGTGGTTTTGTCGCCACATGATCAAGGATGCTCCTCGATGGTCCTCGCCGAAGGAACAAAGCACACGTCCGAGCGGTGCCAAGGTTCTGGCATGGCGGTGGCGGCGTGCAGGACGGGCGCTGCGGGTCGGGGGCGGGGAGCCTTGACGCTGTGACGCCTAAGACGGCGCGACGTTCCTCTGCGAGGGCTGCCATGCCATGGCGCCTGTTGTACGGGTGCCTCCTCCTCCTCCTTCTCCTCCTCCTCCTCCTTCTCCACCTCCTCCCCCTCCTCCTCCTCCTCCTCTCCTCCTCCTCCTCCTCCTCCTCCTCCTCCCTCCTCCTCATCCCCCTCCTCCTCCTCCTCCTCCTCCTCCTCCTCCTCCTCCTCCTGACATGTGCGAATTTGGATATACCTGCTCGGTGCGCTGTCATGGGGCTCTCGGGGATCTCTGGGGCCCGGCGGCCGCGCGGGGCGGGCGGGGCGGGGCGGGACGCCCCGGGGGTCCACCCCGACGGTGGGGCCCGGCGGCCGCAGCATGTGCGGGGCGGGCAGCGCGGGACGCCCGGGGCTCGCACGGAGCCCACTGGGGCCGGGCGGTTGCCGCAGGGCAGCGCGAGGCGCCCGAGGACCCACCCCGGGACTGCTCCTGGCCATCGCTCGGACGTCCATTCCCTGTGTTTTTGTGTTCGGTTTCGTGCGTGGTTTTGTCGCCACATGATCAAGGATGCTCCTCGATGGTCCTCGCCGAAGGAACAAAGCACACGTCCGAGCGGTGCCAAGGTTCTGGCATGGCGGTGGCGGCGTGCAGGACGGGCGCTGCGGGTCGGGGGCGGGGAGCCTTGACGCTGTGACGCCTAAGACGGCGCGACGTTCCTCTGCGAGGGCTGCCATGCCAAGGCGCCTGTTGTACGGGTGCCTCCTCCTCCTCCTTCTCCTCCTCCTCCTCCTTTTCCTCCCCCTCCTCCCCCTCCTCCTCCTCCTCCTCCTCCTCCTCCTCCTCCTCCTCCTCCTCATCATCCCCCTCCTCCTCCTCCTCCTCCTCCTCCTCCTCCTCCTCCTCCTCCTCATCCTCCTCCTCCTGACATGTGCGAATTTGGATATACCTGCTCGGTGCGCTGTCATGGGGCTCTCGGGGATCTCTGGGGCCCGGCGGCCGCGCGGGGCGGGCGGGGCGGGGCGGGACGCCCCGGGGGTCCACCCCGACGGTGGGGCCCGGCGGCCGCAGCATGTGCGGGGCGGGCAGCGCGGGACGCCCGGGGCTCGCACGGAGCCCACTGGGGCCGGGCGGTTGCCGCAGGGCAGCGCGAGGCGCCCGAGGACCCACCCCGGGACTGCTCCTGGCCATCGCTCGGACGTCCATTCCCTGTGTTTTTGTGTTCGGTTTCGTGCGTGGTTTTGTCGCCACATGATCAAGGATGCTCCTCGATGGTCCTCGCCGAAGGAACAATGCACACGTCCGAGCGGTGCCAAGGTTCTGGCCTGGCGGTGGCGGCGTGCAGGACGGGCGCTGCGGGTCGGGGGCGGGGAGCTCGCCGGGCGTGGCCTCGAGGCGAGCCGACGGGACTGCGCCACTCACAGAGAACTGCGGCGACCGATGGCGCGGTGCACTCCCGCCAGGCCACCGCGAGAGCACTGGCGCGCCCGAAGTCGCCCAGAAAAAAACGTATTACAGCTGGGGGATGGAGGGAAGGGGGTCAGGATAAGCATGAGGAGGGATGAGGAGAAGAGACATGATGTGGGCCAGGAGCACGCGCGCGCCTGGCAAGAGGAGCAAAAAGGAAACGACCATAAGGAACCCCAAACAGTACCACACACTCGACAACAATAGTGCTGAACCAATGTCAGCTGCCACGGGCACCAATCAACGATCTGTTTCGATATATGCGGTGTTATCGAGGTCCTGCGATCCACGCGGTGCCATCTGGATGGTGCAACCCATGTGGTGCTGTCAGTGTGATACAAGGTCACCCTGCCGAAGGTGAAGTTGTCAACTCCAGCGCTCGCGCAATCATCCCACACACCCACCCACAACTTGGTTTGCAAAACCCATGCCACGGCGATTGCGATGACTGCTTGGCGCTGGCTGGCGCATCGCTGCGGCCGCGCTAGCGCGCGCAAGCTGCGCGCAGAGCGGCAAGCTAGTCTGGCGCGACCGACGGGGCCGCGGTGGCGCTGACGAGACTTCGAAGCGCGTCTCGCAGGCCGCGCTGGCGCGCGGCCACTTCAGTGCGAGACGCTGATCTTGGCGGGCGCGGTATCATGGCGACGTCGACAACGGCTGGCACGATGATGAAACCAGCGGTGCTGGTGACGATGATGGCAGCGCCGACGGCAAGGCCGATGACGGCGCAGGTGCAGATTACGCCGATGACGACGATGGTGTTGCCGTGTCGGCGATGGAAGCGTGGAGAGGATTTCGCTGTGCGCGCGGCCGACGGGCGCAGTGGCCCGCCTCGGGTTATTAATTTCACAGGGACCGTCCGCCCCGCCGGAACGAGCGCGGGGCCGATCGAAGGATCTCGACATGCGCGCGAGAGGCCCGCTTTTTTTTTTGAGGGAGGAAGAGGCGAAAAGGAGACAACGCACACGCCCGCTTGCTGTCCATCTCGCATATCGTGCCGTGGAGTCCGGGGGCCACGCCACCCTGAGTCGAAAAACAGCACAACAGGACGTGATGAGAGGTAGATCCGCTTCCCCTCGAGGGGGCTTGCGCGCGAGAGGCCCGCTTGGTCGAATGTGATGAACACGTTGAGGCAACACATGCTTTTTCTCCGAAGTGCGAATTCACAAGAGCGTGCGCGCAGTTGTGGTGGGAGCCCTATGCTGGAGAACCATGGATTGTTTTACATGTTGCAGGAAACTCGATCTTGAAACAATTACGCACCTAAGGTTGTTGAATGATGTCGACATGCGCGCACGACGACGCGCGCGTGGAATTTGCCACATTATGTTACAAGGGATTCTCGAGCATGTATATTTTCTGATAAACCGAGTGCGCACGCATGGTATCATTTGTCAGGGATGAAAGCTTCCGGGCTCGATACCAGCGTGGCTGGGACGACATGAGCTCATATGAACGAATGGCTGCTGATTGCAATGCACGAGACTGGGTGGATACATCCAGGGATAGCCGTAAAACGAACACAAACAACATGCAACGGAATGCGAAGCAATGAAAAGCAGCGCAGAGCAAAGTATGCAAAGCAAGGCAGAGCACGGCAAGCCAAAGCAAGGCAAGCAAGGCAAGCAATGCACAGCAATGCAACGCAAAGAACCGAAATGATCCGAAATGCAACCCAAACCAATGCACAGCAACGCAAGGCAATGCAAAGCAATGCAATACACAGCAACCCAAGGCAAGGCAACGCAAAACAAGAAACGCAGTGCAACGCAACGCAGCGAAGTTCAAGGCAACGCCACGCAACGCAAAGCCGCGCAGTGCAAAGCAGTGCGAATCAACGCATGCGGAGCAGGTCAATGCACGGCAATGCGACGAGGCCTCGGCAGAGCGGCGCCGGCGACCGCGAGGACGCGGACGCGCTCACGGAGACCAGACGGACGACGGACGGCGACACGGCGGCCACGGCGACCACAAGGCGGCGGAATCGACAACGGAGCCCAGACGACGGACGGCGACGAGGCGGCGACGGGGCGGCGACGGGGCGGCCACGGCGACCACAGGGCGGCGGATCCGACAACGGAGCCCAGACGACGGGCGGCGGCGAGGCGGCGACGGGGCGGCGACGGCGACCACAAGGCGGCGGACCCGACAACGGAGCCCAGTTCCTCAGAAAAGACATAATCGCCCCCAAGTGCACGCACTGTTTGGGGAACATCTGAATGCTACTCGCAACGTTCCATGATTCTGAGATGCTGGGCGAACGCGTTGGGGCAACTCTCCAAAGTCTCTGGAGGCTGTGGGTAAGACTGAAGAGGTCGGGCGGTGGGTGAGTGAGTCGCGCGGTGGGTCGCGAGTGGGTCGTGGGGGGGATCCTAGATGGGGTCCGAGCAGGTGGGGTTGGAGGGCCGCGCCGCATCGACGATGCACCACCGACGGCGTCGACGCATCGGCGACGTCGGCGTGGAGAAAATCGGGCTCTGCGTCGGAGATGCGGCGCGATCATCTGAGGGGGTGCGATGCGGCGGCGGAATCGGCGATGCGGGCCCATCTACTCGGAACCCATCTAGGAGGCCTACCCGCCAGTCGGACGAAGCAGGTGAAAATATCCTATAGGAAGGCGCCTGAAACAGATTGGGACCTGGGTTTCCAAAAGTACCTACTCTGAAAGACCGGGCGTGTAGCCGGAACCAAAAGGTACCGATAGCGCTACTCCCCAGACCTCTCCCGAGGTGAATCCGGCGGTGGCGACGCGGGCCTCCAAGGAGGCCCGAAAAGGGGAAGGCGAGGGAAGGGTGGCGGCATCGGCCCCCTGTGTCCCCCTCTGAGTGGAGGGGCGGGTCGCGGGGCGGGTTGCGGGACGGTTCGCGAGAGGCGGGTCGCGGCGTGGGCCGCGGGGAGGCCTCGCCGCCTGTGCGGGGCCGCGGCGGGGCTGCGCACCGAGGCAGGGCTCGTTGGCGGGCCGCGGCGGGCGCGCGGGGCGGCGCGCAGGGGCAACTCGCGGGGAGCCTCGGGTGGCGGGGCAGCCCTGTCGCTGGGCAGGTCGCGGGTCGCGGGAAGGGTCGCGAGAGGCGGGTTGCAGGCGCGTGCTCTGCTCGGGGATCTAGTCATCCAGGTCATATCCAGACCCAGGTCAGTCAGGCTTTGGGCCAGTCAGGCTGTGCAGGGTCCTGCACGATCCTGCAGGATCCTGCACCCAAGCCCGGGTCGGTGCGCCCCTGGCGCTGCAGGATCCTGCAGGGTCCGGCGCTCCGTCCGACCCCCGTTTGCATGGACCCCGTCTCTTGAGCCGCGATATGTTTGTGTTGTTGCCTTGCTGGCTCCCTCACGGCATGGGGCAGTGTCTCTTGGACGCGGCCGTGGTGCGGAGCCGAGCGTGTCGAAGGGCCCTCGTGCCTGCGAGTCCACCCGGGCGGGTCGCAGGCGCCTCCCTGGGAGTTCCGTGGGGCGACGACGACGATAACAATAACACCCCTCTGCGGAACCGAGATTCGGCTGCGCATCCCAGGACAATGTAAGACGGCTCGACGCTCCAACTCGGAGGTGGCACATGCACGCTAGATGGCGCGGGCACAGGATGCATCGTTCACGAGGCGTGCAAAACACGATGTCTGGATGTAGACTTTGAGAGGCGATGCACCCTTGAGGGGAGAACCTTTGGATCCGAATCCAAGGCCTCCTTGCCAGCAGACGTCGTACGTAATGGCAGCCCCCACGCGACACATTCCAGTGGCCAAATCTGGGCTGAGTTTCTCCTTATGATCCTGCTACATATCCTTCTCCACCTCTTCGGCTACGGATTCGCTGAATGTACGCAGCTGCTGCGCCGACTGACCATGCATGCATTAATGAGGTCACCATGGCATACACGAGATCGAGGTCCAGGAAAGCACGCACCGACAAAACCGAGCGCAAGGCGTGGTATTCCCGCGATATGTTCGAGCTGTTCAGGCTGCTCGCGTTGTGAAGGAACACCCGCAACGAGTATGGCTGCGGCGCATCATTGGTTTTGCAAAATCTTCTGGGGAACCGAAAGGCAATGAAGGGGGACGATCACTGGCGGGGTTCGGACAATGAGGGCACCTCCTCGGGCGTTACATCTAAATAATCGCCAAGCAACGTAAGTTAGCAGCAATGGTAGCCCACAGCATGCACCGGACAAAAACACCCCGTACTCTCTTATTCCTGCTCGTTCGCATCCTATTATGTGCCTTCCCCTTTTACTCCCCCGTTCCCTTCAACCTTCTCTTTCCTGAGGTCCAGACGCAAACGGCACAAGGATGCCTCGACCACTTCCACCGACTGCGGCTGGAAACTTTCTCTCCTAGTCTTGTCAATCATTCCTCTGTGCTGCCCAGATGGGCATGCCAGCATTATTCCTGGGCGAATGGGCCTGCTATGTGCAGCGTGTTGGAGGTCGTGGTGCCTCACTCTGGCTGCCCAACAAAACAGATCGCCGCGTCCTGGTGAACGGCCTGAGTCACCAACGGGTCCAGCATGGCGGCCCAGAGCAATACGTCTGCCTGCGGAGCTGCGAAATGGTGGTCAAAGAGGACTTTTCGAGTACGGACCCGGGACAGGGAAGAACATAAGACATCATCCAAGAGAGCAGACCTTGTCCTGGCTGACGGGCTTCTGCAGGATGGCCTAGAGTTCCCACCTCTTGTTCTATTCAAGACGTTTGTTCGAGGAGAAAGAAGACGAGGACGAGAAGAGGGGAGACGGTGAAGCCAGCAGCAACTCGACACACGACCTCCGTGGGGGAGGAAACAACACACTAGCGCATCCGCCCCCCGTGTCATCCCATGGCAAATCCCTGCTGCTACCATGGGCCCCTGGAGAGGCCTTTGGGGCGGCCTGGGCTCCTGCCCGCCTCTAAGACGAAGCCCAGACCAGGATCAATTCAGGTGAGGATGCATCGAGAATCTCTCAGATCCGCCGGCTCTAGAGGATGTCGCGGGCGCCGCGCCTTCTCAGAGCGTTCCGGAACGCTCTGGAACGGATGCGTCCTCGTCCTGACCCCGCCCGATCCTCCCCATTCCCCGGAAGCAGCTGTTTGTCCAGTGCCTGGGCTGAGCTCGGTCCCAGGGGCAGATCCACGAGAAGTAGACCACGGAGGCGTGCAGCAGAGGGGCACGCAGGCATCCTGCTCGCAGGGGTGGCCAGCAGGCCGCCTCTCCTGCCTGGGGGCCTCGCTCCCAGGGAGAGCAGGAGGGCCTGCTCCAGCGAGGAGTAGGATGGGCCAGGTCGCAGGAGGCAGCACGGGTGCAGGGTTGGTGTCGGGCCAGGGCCTTTCCGATGATCAGAAAAGAAGCGAGAGGGGGCAGGCCCTCTCAATAGGTAGCGGGGGGCTTCTCCAGAGCCCTCCGGCCTTCCGGGCAGCCGTCTCTGTCTCTGGGGGAGGCGGTGGTGAGAGACTGGGGTTCGGGGTCGAGCTAAACAGTGTGTTTCGTTTTCGTGTTGTTTTCGTCATCCCCAGTTCTGTCTTCGCTCCACATGTGCTGCAAACTGAAATCAAAACGAAAACGGTCCACGAAATTGCCAGAACAGCGTTTCGCTCGAGCCCTGGGCTGGGGTGGGGGGTCAGGGCTGGTGTCGGGCCAGAGCCTTCCCGACGAGAGAGCCCTCCGAAAAGTGGGGCCCCTCAGCTGAGATCTGCGGATCGAGCCGCATCGCCGACGCATGGTCGATGCATCGGCGATGCACCCGCGACGTCGGAGATGCACTGGTGCCGTGCGCGTGGAACACATCTAGGGGGAAAACAAACCTAC